AACATATCAGAGAAAACACCATAGAGTGGTGATATAAACAATAATAAAAACAATATCAGAGAAAAACACCATAGAGTGGTGGTATAAACAACAATAAAAACAATATCAGAGAAAAACACCATAGAGTGGTGGTATAAACAATAATAAAAACAATATCAGAGAAAAACACCATAGAGTGGTGATATAAACAATAATAAAAACAATATCAGAGAAAAACACCATAGAGTGGTGATATAAACAGTCATAAAAACAATATCAGAGAAAAACACCATAGAGTGGTGATATAAACAATAATAAAAACAATATCAGAGAAAAACACCATAGAGTGGTGGTATAAACAACAATAAAAACAATATCAGAGAAAAACACCATAGAGTGGTGGTATAAACAATAATAAAAACAATATCAGAGAAAAACACCATAGAGTGGTGATATAAACAATAATAAAAACAATATCACAGTAGTATTTCACAAACTAGTATTAATAAAAAACCAAACTCAAAAAAACAAACAAAGAAAAATGATATTCAAAATTTAAAATAAAAATTTACTTGTTTCAAAAATGCGACAAAAGAAGATCTGAGTACTAGGGAAATTAATGGAGCGTTTTGAACTCCATAGTCCATACTACCCGAGACTGTGTCTGTAACTAACCCCAGTTTCACCGTAACAGTTTCATCGTTTTCATTACGATTAGGAAACACATACAAAAACAGTTTGAAAACCACCGCTTTAAACTGCAGATTTACTTGCATCTGAACTCTCTGTACTCGATGTTAATTCTAATGAACTGTAAAGATTAGATGAGTGTGTTCTTGTTATTTATTATCACATAATGGATCAGCTACATCTACACAAAACTCAAGTACCAACGATCTGAACCGTTAATCGATATCAAAAACAACAAATTGGCAAAACATTGATAGCAGAACTATGAGGGAGTATATCAATTATAAATGTAAATATTAAAGTTTTAATATTAGCAGTAGATCATTTCAACCGATACTCCCCAGAAACTAGTTCCTAATGGTACTGTTTAGCAGCTAAACGGTGCAATTAGGAACTAGATTCTGAAGATTATCGGTTGAAATGTTCTACTGCTAATATTAAAACTGTTATATATAAATCAGCAGGATCATGTGCCGAAAGGAAATGCTCCATTCTGATTTTTTTTTAGCAAAATAATAACTACCACTCTGTAATGATACATGATACATGATTTGTTGCAAGGCAAGAGTGAAAATGCCCTAAAATAAAAACATTATCCCAACTTTGAGCCAATACTCCATTCCATTTCTTGAGCATCCTAATAACGACCACTTTTTAATGATACATGATTTGCAAGTGTGAAAATGGCCTTAAAAAAAACATTATCCCAACTATGAGCCAATTTGGACGTGATAATCCATTCCATTTCTTTCGCAGAACAATAACTACCCTGCCTTAATGAAACATGAATTATTGCAAGGCAAGAATGACCTAAATAATCAGTCAACTTTCTATAGTAATTTCCCAGTACTTTGTTAATGCTCATGATAATCTGGCAGAAAGAATCTGATAAAAAGAAGGTGTTATGCAAGGAATTGCATTAGGTCATTACTAATTCATAAACGTTACACATGGAAATCGATATTCTGTCAGACTGTCAAACGAAATTAATTTATTAAGACATGCCGTTTATTGATTCACTATCCACAACATGGAATTACAAATTTAAAGTCGTAATGCCACGTTTCAACCATCATCGAAAATTACATCGAATGAAATAAAAAAAAATACCAATTTACCATTGTCAATGATTACAACCAAATCGATATTACTTCTTTTTCAATTTTTAACTGTCGAAGAATCTTTAATATGTATAGCTTATTGTAATAGGTTATTTTTCCATCCGAACGATAAGACGCGTTTTCCATGTCAGAACCTCCAAACTGCATCACTGACAGGGAGTGAAATAGGACTTGGTCTTAAGACAATTGACTAGAGAGAACGACGTCATGGGGAGAAGTTGCTTTATCAATAGAGGGATTTAGAGTAGGGTAAAGTCTACAGGGCTAACTCCCAGCAGTTCCAGACAGCTTATTCCTATTTCTCAAAAAAGTATTTGTTCCATCCCTGGCCAGTACATTTAAGAGAATTTAACCCCTCCTTCCTCGAAACTTAACCCTACATCGTTTGAAGACGTTGCTTATATTACAATTACAAAACAAACAATGTTTAGGTACATAACTGCAGATTTCATCTAGCCTGTTGTTTTAGTTAGTTTTTTTCATTGGACTGGTCTTGTCTCTAAGATGGAAGCTTATGTTTTCATAAGTATGCTTGATAAGTTATGTATTGAGATTTCCTTTCAAGCTAGACGTAATGAAACAAAACTTTAAGATCCTTATAATTGCGGCAAATCTGATCCTTTTCCGATAGGCATAATTACATGATAGGTTTTAATTACATGATAGGTTTTAATTACGATAGGTTTTAATTACATGATAGGTTTTAATTACATGATAGGTTTTAATTATATGATAGGTATTAATTACATGATAGGTTTTAATTACATGATAGGTTTTAATTACATGATAGGTATTAATTACATGATAGGTTTTAATTACATGATAGGTTTTAATTACATGATAGGTTTTAATTACATGATAGGTTTTAATTACATGATAGGTTTTAATTACATGATAGGTTTTAATTACATGATAGGTATTAATTACATGATAGGTATTAATCACATGATAGGTTTTAATTACATGATAGGTTTTAATTACATGATCTCGAACATTCTCGTGCTTGCAGCAAATCTGACCCGCTTCACAACCTTTTTCATTTTTTATTTCGTGGTAGATCCTCTTGAAGGAGGTTAATGGACAAGCTTACATTGTATTGTGATAATTCTTGATAGAGCAATACTGTTGTCCATATCGAATTTCAATAAGCTCCGACATTAAAACTATCGATGTCAATTAATTAGCTAAGACCCGGAAGCTAATTTAATCTTATTTAATACACGAATATCGCCTCCACGTTGAAATGACCGTCCAACTTAATTGCTCTAAATTGACACTAAAGTTCTTATTTGACTTCATAAAAATTAAAAGATGAATCACATCACACAGACTGCATCCGTTGCGACCGTTGCTGGCGACGCATTACAGACCAGATACATTTACAAACAACGCCTTTGGAATAATTATGAGCTACTGGATTTTTAATTACTGATATCTTGGAATATTTGATCAATCGCTGGAATAAGTCGACATGAGCGCACCTTCGATTGAAATTGTAGTTGCCCTGGTTCACCATTCAAGATAATACTAAAGCTGTTTTTGAAGCTTAAAATAAGTTAGGCGACACATCGGTCCTTCTGAAGCTTACATAAAGCTAAACCTATCACCAACAGCAAAAGGAAAAGAGTGTTATATATAATTAGTAGAATTCTAGATAATGTTTAAAGGTACATTCACTACACATCGTGAAGAGCTGTTCGTTTTTGTCAGGCGCATGGACGCAAAAATGATTCAAGAAATGTCCTTAGAATATAATGTTCTGATTGAAGAAAATGTGAAGGTGGTTTCGACCTTCAAAGAAAGAAATTAGGTTAAGTTCTTGTCTTGATATAGTTTTCCTTGTCGATGCTATATCCTTGCAGTGACATTAGACTGAACACCAAGGTGGAAATGGTCGAGACAAATACAAAGGTTATTAAGTCCAGACAGACAGACCAGTAGACACAAGGGTATTGTTTTCTACATACTGTAAATATATCTATCATAATATACCTTGAACTCACTAGGTCACTAGGATGTTAGCTAACATAATATTGTCACAGGTTGGTTTGATCTACCATAAGATTTGAGGCGAGGATGGAATTATGTAGTAATGTCTACTGGTAGTAATGGCATTGCTAGTTCCCTATGTAGGAAGAGTCAAGGTGGGTTTTGGTAGACTGGAGATTTAGAGAACTACATCAGATCAGTCGCAAGAGACAAGACCGTGACGACCATATACAAATTACAAAAATTGACGGAGTCACTACCAGCAACTGTGATCAATGGATGGTCCCAAATTCCCATTGCTCATGTTCAATTTTTAATTTAAACAAAAGTGGAACACGAACAACTGGGAAAACTACTGCCCTTGAACCAACATTGGAACCGGAACCTACAAGAAACAGAGGCCATATCTAGCAGATCATAGACGTGTGCTCTTGTTAGATCAACAACAAGTTTAACTGGAGTATCTAGGGCTATTGGGTGACTTACACTAGTAGTTTTTATTACACCGTATTAATATATTCTACCATTATTCAAAAAAATATTACCGGTATTGTTCCTCGTCAAGGGAGGTAATTCAATACCGGTGTGAACAATATTATATTTTTAACGGGACATTGTCTACAGACGTGTGAATATAAAAGATGAAATAGAGGACAAACTTGTTGGGAGTTATGAATATTGTAAGAGATACATCGTGAAATCAGACAACGTGGGCTATTTGATATTGTCAGCAATTTATTTGTCAAGTTGGCGGTCAGTACTGACACGCGTTTATATAATATACCGTACTTGCGAATGTAAAAACTAGCACATGAAGTACTGGGTTGACCGTTAGTATATATGTATCCTTGCTGATTGAATAATAGATCTTTCCTCACTAATCTAGTAAATGTGCAAGAGGTTTGGACTAGGACCAGCTGGTGGAAAAGCTCCTTAGTTGTGAACCTACAAACTAACACGTCAAGTACTAGATAGACCGTTAGGATAAATGTAGCCTTGAAAAAGGGTGCTGATAAAATAAGTCATCTTTCCACATTTTTTCAGGCGCTGTTCAAGAGGTTTGGCCAAGTACCAGCTTGTAGAAAGGATCCTAAATTGTGAACCTACAAACTGGTACATGATTCAACATGACACGTTGCTTTTCCACCTGTAAATGGGTACTAAATAAGTCATCATTCCTTATTATTCCAGTCAACGCGGCTGTAAATGGGTACTGAATAAGTTTTCTCTCCTCGTTATTCTCAGTTGTAAATGGTAAGGATAAGCAGCAAAGCTCAATGTCAAATACTTGAAACATCAGAATCCATTTTGGGGCAATTTGACATGCCCTTCTATTCTGGAAGTACATAACGTTGACGTATTCATATAGAATTAAACACATTTATAAATCTAGGTCGCAAACTATCAAAAATGGAAGAATTTGTGCCATCATCTGATAAATAAATAAAAGATTAGAATTCATTTCATTTCAAATCTGACTGACCAATGTTATCAACGATCAAAGAGACTAGTATCACTGGTCACATGGCGAGAGAGGCGCGACATCTCTAAACATCGTGTGAGGTAGGGAATAAACCCCAGTTTGTAAAGAAATATTGCTAATTACAGATCACAGTCACGCTCTCAAGTTTACATGTAATTGTTTGGATGCGATTTAACAAACCCTCGTCTGAAATAACTATACGAGTGTATTAGGTGCAGGATTCAAGCCCCCAATTTGAATGTTATCTTTTGATCTAGGTTTCCAGGTCACTAGCACAGAACCTGATGACATTTATATGTAGTACTCTTTCTCTAGAGAATATTGCGGACATTCTAACTCAGTGGTTTCCAACCGTTTTCAGCCTTCACACCCCTGGAGTAATCATTTGAACCTTTCACTCCCCGTAAGTTTGTATCATCCACCTTTCCAGCATGTGATGTCGTGATGTGTTACCACCCACAATTGATATCATAATAGAATATTTGGAAGGTAGATATAGGGTACAAAAGACTTCTAACAAATGGCGTCGTATGTATTCCGTTTTATTGACAAAAATTCTAATAGCATGTACAAGAATTACCGAATACGGTTCGAGGTTGTAATTATTTCTATGTTTCATTAAAGAGAAATTGAACTAAGACGTAAAGTAATGTTATCCATGGCTGATTCAATCGTTTATAATGCTTTCTATACTAATTTAACATGTCTATAGTTCCAGTCCTCCTACACACAATTTAAAATTAGTATAAAAAGCATTATGAACGATTGAACAAGAAAGATCAAGGTATAAGACGAAGTTCGTGATAGCCTGACATTGTGAAGATGTGATACAAGAAAGGTGACTATTGAAGTCAAGGTATAAGACGAAGTTTATGATAGATTGACATTGTGAAGATGCGATACAAGAAAGGTGACTATTGAAGTCAAGGTATAAGATGAAGTTTATAATAGATTGACATTGTGAAGATGCGATACAAGAAAGGTTACTATTGAAGTCAAGGTATAAGACGAAGTTTATGATAGATTGACATTGTGAAGATGCGTACAAGAAAGGTGACTATTGAAGTCAAGGTATAAGATGAAGTTTATAATAGATTGACATTGTGAAGATGCGATACAAGAAAGGTTACTATTGAAGTCAAGGTATAAGACGAAGTCCGTGATAGCCTGACATTGTGAAGATGTGATACAAGAAAGGTTACTATTGCAGTCAAGGAAAAGTACGAAGGTTGGATTAGCTTGACATTGTGAAAATGTAAAACATCAAGTTTCGAACTCGTAATTCACTGAAATAAATGAACTGAGAACAGACAATAAATCAATACAAATTAACACTTGATCGTTAAGATTGTAGGCGGAAAGGTTCCATTATCGTTAGATTTATTGCTTTTATTCTTTATCATCTATTAGCGCCTACAAATAACTAGATTAATTCTGTTGATAGAAAAAATAATGAATAGTTTAATTTAGACCATTACACCTTTTATCAGAGCTGAAAAATCATTATTAATACAATTATTCTATTATATGAAAGTAAAATAAAATATTAATAATGTATTTATATAATGTTATTAATTCACATTCTCACATTTCAAACAATTAAAAATCTGCGGGGGTGTGATATCTTTGAGAGTTGTCGAACCTTGTGATTAATAGACTTCGATAAAACAAACGTTTTGTTTCGAAACTCAGAAACAGGCATTTAGGTATCTTTTGTTCATCTTCAGTGGTCCCCAATCTGTCGACCGCTTAACGTAGGTGTTTGCTAAAGCTCCAGTCCCACATGCCCGGACTGAGGCCCAGTGTACTCCCAGACGTTATCCGGGGTATACCGGGGGTGGTCCCGATTTATTTGACATGTCAAATATTTCTTGTCGTCCGGGGTTAACCCAGGGAAGGACTAAATCCGGGTCTACATCTTGGCTACTCACTTATCATTGATATACTTCCTCGTGTGAAAAATTCATTAGCTGCTACCAATGCTTCGTCAATATGTTATTCTGGATTTCAGGTTCGTTTTACGATTCAGATCGTTAGTACTTGGTTTATTTCTAACAAGAGTAATCTGGGTCCTTATTGAGTCCCCTCTTTTGTCAGATAAAAAGTGAAAAAAACTCCGAGTACAACGAATACTTTTACCATTAAGTTCATTCAGGGCTATAATTTCAATCTTATTCAAATAAAATGAAACCAATTTTACACGTGGCAGCTTTTAATGAATAAAGTATGAAATGTGTAATTAAAATTAACATTGCCAGGTTAAAAGGTCATGATAGTAATATATATCAGTAGGTCTCCCCATTGTCCACCTCCTCCACATTTCTCATTATATTCATTTTATAACCAACAATATTAGTAATATTTTGTACTGGTGGGTCTATGCCAGTGGTTCCCATCCTTTATCAGCCTGGCAGCCCCCTCCCAAAAAATTGTTTCATCCACATTTCTAACATGTGATGATGTGAGGTGCTCTTTCAATTCTTCTCCTACATCAGTTGGCCACATCCCTGTAACCCTAGTCCCACACCCC